TCTGGACAAACGTCCATTCTAGAAGCGTTTTATTTTCCGCCAATTGAATTATCATCATCTAAAAAATATACCCTAGGACTTGTGGAATTGTTAACCTTCAATTCCATTCCAAATATTGATAACGGCAATAATAAATTTTATTATACACTCAATGGTGAAGATAAAAGTATTAAAATACCCACAGGAAGCTATGAAATTGAAGACATTGAAAATTATTTGAAGAAAGCTGATACTCAATTATCAATTTCTATTAAGCCCAATAATAATGAACTACACAGTGAAGTTTACAGTGAAAATGCAACAATAAATTTCAAACCGCATGATTCTATTGGTAGTTTGTTGGGCTTTAGTCCACGAGTTATTTTTCCAAAATTGACTCACACATCAGATTTACCAGTATCTATCTTGAAAATTAATGCATTAAGGATTGAATGTAATATTACTACAGGAGCATACATGAATAATCAGTTGGTACATACGATTCACGAATTTTTCCCATCAGTTCCACCAGGATATAAGATCATTGAAGTTCCATCAAACGTCATTTATCTTCCAATCACCGTACAGACAATACATAATTTACAACTGTGCATTGTTGATCAAGACGGTCAATTGGTTAATTTACGTGGTGAAACTGTAACAATACGTTTACATTTGAAATCAGTCACGTAATGGGGATTGTTTATAAACCAATAGTAGGGGGAAGCTATAAAACTAACATATCATGCCTGAATCCCATCAGTCATCGAAGAAAATTCAAACGATTAACTTATCAAAATCGATTATTCCTACAAAGTCTGGGACTAAAAATACGCAAAAGTGCAACAAAATTAAAGTGAAAGTGTGTTGTCTTGCATGTCTTTTACCATGGAAGAAGAAAAATTAGCAATAAGCAAAGGTGTCATATTTGATGAGTCTATTGCACACATTGAGGTGCATGCTCATCAACCATATGCATCTACAACATATAATAATAATGATGAGATACATATCTCAGTTCAACATCAAGATTTATGTCTGTTGCCAAGCAAAAGTTCCCTTCATATTATGGGGAAATTTACAAAATCTAACGGAAATGCAGTAGCAGCAACATCAAGATTCGTTAATATGGCCGTATGCTATTTATTTGAAGAAATACGATATAAATTGAATGGTGTTGAGATTGATCGAAATAAAAATGTTGGTCTTACAAGTCTCATGAAGGGATATCTATCTCTTCATCCAGGTCAAAAAAATTATTTAGATAATGCAGGTTGGGTAACTGATAATGAAAGATTATTTAATGATAATGGATACTTTGATGTTTCGATACCGTTACATATGCTATTGGGATTTGCTGAAGATTATCATCGCATAATTGTCAATGCCAAACATGAATTAATACTTACTCGTTCAAATACCGATCTTAATGCAATTGTACAAGCTACAGCGGAACCTGAAGAGACGATTACGCTTATAAAAATTGAATGGATCATTCCTTATATCACTGTTGCAGACATGAAAAAGGTAGAATTGTTAAGTTACATTGCAAAAGACCCACCGATTCCAGTGAGTTTCAGATCATGGGAATTATATGAATATCCAATGCTGCCGAACACAACCAAACACGTATGGGTCGTAAAAACATCAACTCAATTGGAAAAGCCCCGCTATGTTATATTAGGATTTCAAACTGCACGCAAAAATGATGCTACAAAAGATGCAAGTCATTTCGATCATTGTGATTTAAGGGATGTAAAACTTTTCCTCAATTCACAATGCTATCCATATGGCAACATGAATCTTGACATAAGTCACAATCAATTTGCCTTATTATATGATATGTATAGAGATTTCCAAACATCATATTATGATAAAGAAGCAGAACCTCTACTCACGAAAAAAAAATTTATAGATATAGCACCACTCGTTGTAATTGATTGTTCTAAACAAAATGAATCCTTAAAATCAGGACCAGTTGATGTTCGACTGGAATTTGAATCATCAAAAGCTTTTCCTGCTAACACATCAGCCTATTGTTTGATCTTACATGATCGAATAATAGAGTATAAACCTTTAAGTGCGCAAATGAGAAAACTAACATAAAATATTGTAAAAAATATACATATTATATAATTATGATTATATTATTCATGTATTAATCAAATTTTTTTTTGCTATAAATAAATTGTGTACACGAAAAAGATTACTGTTTTCATTCATTTATTTCCAAAAAAAAATCTGATAGTTGGTAGCGCAAATTTTGAGAGAATATCAATACATTGACAAAACTTTGAAAAAAAAATCAGTTATTTTTGCTGATAGTGAAATTTTAATCGCGGTTGGTAAAAAATCGGTATTATCATTGAAGATAATTCATCGAGGTTGGTAAAAAAAAAATCGCTGCCGATAATTTATCAGTGTCGATAACTTATCGCGGTCGGTAACTTATCGTCAAAGTTATCGCGGTCGGTAATTAGTGCGGATCAGAACCCACTTTTTTTGACTTGGCCGGTATTGCAGAGTGATCCAGAACCGGCCCTGCTTATCTACTTTTGAAAAAATGTCTGTAATAAATAATCGACGGTTGCAAAGAGTACCACCACTAGCCGTCACATCTATTGATGGCCCTGAGAGTTTCCCTGGTTGTTAACTCCATTGTTGGGCTGAGGGTTAATTTGATTTGATTGCAAGCTATGACAAGAACATGGTTGTCGGCATGTAAGTGTTTGAGCTCCCCATTTCAAATGATTTCTACAAATTCCAGAAGGATTATTAGCATTAGGTGCTCTTTGTTGATTATTTTGAGGTTGTGAAGAATTGCTGAGAGATCTGTGATGCGATCTGCTTCGTGATCTATATGGGTAAACATGACCATGCATGGTATCCATCTTGTTTGCAAGAAGTTTTATCTGTTCTTCTAGTTTATTAAATTTATCGTCACAGTCTTCATGAGACGATTCAGAAACTGCAGCTACGTTACTTCCACTTTGTCTTGGAGTAATCTCTATTATTTTATCAGCAAGTTAAGCTAAATTTTCATTATCCATGTTTTGGGCGACTGCCAAAACCATTTGTACGTCCTTTGGGAGACGATCCATCCAGAGAGTCTTGATGAAAGATGCATTATGTGCATTGTTGGATAAACGACACATTTCTGCATAAAGTTCTGAAGGTCGTTTGTTTTCTAAATTAATTCCTGAAACCAGAGCCCTAAAATTACTTTCTTGTGAAGTTACGTAGTAACTGATTAACGCATCTTTGATAGCTTGATATTTCTTGTCAGTGGGAGGGTTTGTGACAAGCATCTCTATAGCTGCAAGGTGTTCTTGGCCCAAATTACAAACAATAGCTTTAAATTTGTCATTATCGCTGAGTCCTGGTTTATTGGCGAAAGCAATTTCAACTGTCGTAAACCATAACTTGACATTTTGCAGGCCAAAATGGAGGTATATCATTTTTTTCAATCTTGTCGATCGGTTGAGCATATCTTGAATACGGTAAATGGCCTTGAGGTAGTCCAGGAATTTGCTATTGGTAACCTGTATGTTGATATCCATAACCTGGCATTTGCTGAGTATAACCTACTGCACCAAATGGTGACAGACCTGGCTGAGAAATAGGCTGATGTCCTGAAGCAGAAGTTGAAGGTGAGATATGATCAGATGAAGTAGTTTTAGTCTGAAATGGCGATGCTGCATCTCCCGATGCTGGTCCATCAGCTGTGTGTTGATGTGTTGTTTGGTCTGAAGCACCTGTTACTGGAGGTACGAGAGCTTGTGCAACAAATTGAGGAGATAAAATTGGCATGTTTGGATCTCTGCCACCCGAGGCTAAATCTTAATTGGTACTTGATAATAGATCTTGATCATGAGACTGTTCTTCAGCCGGTGGCTGGTGCAAGTCAGAATGGCGTAGGTTAGGCATTAAATTATTCCGTTTACTCAGCTTAAAAATTAAATTATTAGCAATCTGAGGTATCTCTTAACTCCCTTCACTCATCCTCATTCTCACTTGTGGTCGTCTTACATTTGACTGACGCGCCGCCACTCCTTTAAAAGCGCTAACAACATTCAAATCGTATAAAAACAAAGAACAATATTCACTAAGACTAATTTCCAACATTCCCTCCCCCCTTGAACACTTCAATTTTGAGCGTTATATGGTAATGGACACAATTTAGTAATCAGACGGGTGTATTTGCCATCCGGAGTACGAATCTTCATACCTCTTACCCCGGCATCTGGACCTGGGTAAATCTACACTATTCTGGCTAGAATCCATTTAAAAGGTGGAAAATTCTCGTCTTTAACCAATACTAGATCATTAGCCGTAGAATTTGTACTCTCGGTTACCCATTTGGTCAAAGGACCACTAAAATTTATTCCAACATTACTAAAAGCAGGTGCTGAGTCAACTCTATCGGCAGGAAGTGCCAAACCATTTTTTAGCTAATATGTCAATCGAAGCTGAGATGATGTAACTTGAGTGCCTGAATGCGACATCTTTTTATGTTTCAATTTTATTAATTATCTAATAGTGTGATTATGTGTGATATGTTAGCTTCGATCAATCTACGATTAAACCTCAACAATCCACCTTTATTAATAAATAAAGTGAACGATCATAAAGAAGAAGTATTAAGAACCTGACCTTTAGCTTTTAAAGCCTGCATTTCAACAAAAAAAATTTTTTTTTGAATTCAGGCTGAGATTAAATTTAAGGAATTTTTTAACTCCACAACAGTTAAGGTTCCCCCTGATTTGTCTGTTTTTCTTCGAGTAATATTGATAAAACGCAAAACGTATGCCATGGCTCTCTGCAAACAAGAAAAGTTAGAGAAACGTTCCCAGTCTACTTACGATTTTAATTTTAAGGTATTGAAAAAAACCTTCCTTTCTTCTAGAAGCGAATCTAGCACATCCCAAGTTCCTTGAACTATTGGAATTTCCCATCTTTTGTCACACAGAAACTCAGGACCGTGCCACCATAAGATTAAGTCTATTTCTTTTCTAGATATAATGTCTCTAAACACCATAGCAGCTGGATTCTCAGAAGAACCTACGTGTCTCCAACTACAACCTATAGTTAATTCTCGAATCACAGAGACCCTGCAGGCATCGAAGGTTTGCCATTCAGAAGATGTAGTAGCTAACCAACATAACACTATTTGGGAATCGGTCTACATTGTCATACTCTGGATTTCAATCGAGACGATAGATTTTTCTCTAGTCGTGACTCTCGAAAAAAGTAACGCGCTACATAGTTCTAAGCAAAGAAGCGTCACAGCCTTTACAGGGGCTATCCGTAACTTTGAACCAATTAACTCGGAAGAAATTTTTCCATTTGAGTAAAGGACTCGCAAATAAAGACAACAAGCATAAGCCATGATCAAAGCATCAGAAAACCCATGCACTTCAACCTCTCGAACTCGAATTTTCTCGAACAAGGATCTTGTCATTTGAACTTGTAAGTTAGAGGATTTACCCACAAAGGCTTTCCATCTCCGAGCTTATTCGTCTGATATCAACTCATTCCAATCGATGTTGGAGGGATATGTCTGATATCAACTCATTCCAATCGATTCCAAGGGATCAAAGATTTTAGCGATTTAAGCAAGAACGAATCTTTTAGTGAACCTGTTGCTTTCTTTAGAGTAACTGGATTCATTGGAACACCATTTATAAAGCTTAAGAAAGTTTATCTGGTAAGGTAGATATCGAGAGCAATTGTCATGGTAGGTATTTTTTCTAATGTTAATGTCGAATATATTAAAAAAAAATTTTGACTCAGTGTGTACTAGCGTTAATCAATCCCAAGTAGTCTTATACAATCTGGCAATGTTGCATTATTTTCTAGATACTAAGAGAGAAGAACGACGTCTTTCGTCTCTGTCGGGAACTCGTCCGACAATACATAGAGATTTAACATCTTAGTTTTGATAATTCGAAGAAATATAAATTCAGATTAATAAAATGTCAAAAATAATAAGATATAAGGAAAAATTCATGAAAAAAAAGAAGTGGAGAAAAGGTTAAAAGCATTAGCAGCAATGTCTGCAGCAAAAAAACCGTCTCACATACAAGATATAACTAACGGTAGACGTGTTGTTGAAATCCCTGAACTGGCTGAAAATTCAACGTGTACTTTTTGTGAGAAAGATATTCATTTACAAAATATTATAAGTGAGAGATGACTTGGATAAAATTCTATTTTCAAAATACTCTGTGACAAATGTATGAACTTTTATGACGTTGCAACAGGAAAATTTCATAAATTCCACAATTGGAGTAAACGTAGTGATGTGAATGCAAAAACTGTTCTAGGTAAGCTGATAAATTGTTTATGATGGCTTTTATACATTAACTCTTTCCATATCTTATTGCATTATTTTTTGTAAATGTAATACACATTCATAATATAACTGAAATGTAATTAAGAGAACATTGAAATCAATCCACCACAAATTTCGTTGGGTCTATTGATCTCGATTTTAGTATACCCTAATAAGAAAATGAAGTATCATGTATTCATCAATTCCGTGTATATGTTATAACGTCATTTTTCTACCCCCATAAAAGGGTATACTCTATAACGCACCTTCCTTCAAGTGGGAATCCTGATTAGAACTATCCCTGGAAGACTAATACTACTTTACCTAGGGCGCCAAGTTATTTTTATTCACCGGAACAACTAAACTGGCATAACTTACAACTAATTTAAACTTAAATCTAAACTCAATATCTCAACTTACTAACTAACTCAAAATCTACACAATATCTCAAAATCTCAATACTTAAAACTAAATCTCAAACTTATATCTAACTTAACGAAGATGGTTCTACAAAAATCAGGATCCTCCTGAACAGGGCATGTCCTGGCCCTCAGTTGCGTAGGTTGTGGAGAGGGGTCGTGTCCGGCCAACAAAATAAAATTAAACAAAAGAAATAATCGAAATAAGAGACCAAATGAAATAAACTAACTGACGGACTGGGTTGAAGGTCCCCAAACTACCAGAAATAAACTAACAAGTTCAACATATTCTTTTAACTCTCAAATTTATTATAACAATTTTTCTCAATTAAGTTTTCTTAACAATTACTAAAACTCAAAGCATTATTATCTTAATTCTCTTGATCAACAAATCAATTACGTTATAACAATCTTCAAAATGAATTAACTAAAACTCTGACTTGTTACAATCCTGGAGCTCAAATAAACCTTACCTACTAACTAAAGAATATTTCTCAACAAAATGTTTCTCAATAAATCGTAACTTAGAATTCTAAACTCATAAACGGAATATTTTAGTTTTCCATAATAAACAAATCTTTAAATCAAATCAACTAAACTAAATCATACCTTCTTTATCAAAATCTGCAATTAAGCTTAAACTAACGAGTACAAGAGCAAACCAAGCCTCACGGATTTTCTTTTATTCAACAAAATAATTTTAACTAACTACAAATTTACCTCTTAACCCATTACAAATCTATTCTTAATAACTCACAAATTGTGCAGAGAGCTTTCGATACTGTAGTTTTTGCCAAACTCGGTCCTGGTGGTCTTGAACGTCCTTCAATTTGAATTGAAGATCCTTTCTGATCTCTATTTTGCTTCCTGGAGTCTTCTCTGCTCTTCTCTCCCAACAAGATGGTAATACTTGACTCTCCATGGACACAGCATGCCATCGACTAACTAGGAGCTCAGTCCGCAATCCACACTCCAAAATATTCTCAAATCTCGTTCTTCAATTTCTTTCTTCTCTTCATTTTCTTCTCCCTCTACTCCAAAACGTCTATAATTTGTCGAATCACATTTTTTATTAGTGGTTATCTTCACGTGACTTCTCCCAGATTTTCATATGGAGGGGTCACTTAAAACTAATGTGCACCAACGTAATCCTTATTCCAAAACTTAATATCTAAACTCAAAAACGGCCTCTTCCATACTGCCATCTTCTTCTTGGAGTCCCATTTTACTAGCAACAGCCTCGTGACTATAACCCTTAGAGCTAGGACGTCTCCCAGCATGGGAAAACTGCAGGGTGACACGTTGCTTTCGGTCTTCTGCTCCACTACAGTCTCCCAACTCTCCTCCCAACAGTCCATGTGGTTGACAGATTTACTTGTTGATCTCAACTCTGCTTTACTTGGGTTATTGAGACTTTATCCACTAAATTTAATTACTAAATGAATCCATTAGCCTTGGTTTACATTACTTATAATTAATAAATTAATAAATCAATACATATCAATAAGAACTTATAAATACCTATCCTACGCCACAAAATACGAATAAAGATTATAATTTGGCCTAAAATACGCAGAAATAAATTTACATAATTACAATGACTCATGACTTTAAATAAAATTAAAAAAACAATAAATTAATTAAATTCTTTGGCGTAGGGAAAAAAAAATTATGATAAATAAAACACTTAAAAATATGCACAATTGGACGATAAAAATCAAGGTAATTGCTCAAATGAGCTTCAGATAAAAAATTTTACTTTCTAAATCATTACTGGAACACTCTAACTTGGCTATTATCAGCCTTAAATAGTTAATAAGCAATTCTAGAGCTGACAATGGGACGTTATTGAAAAACAACGTCACAATGTAAATAATCAATAATCAAAAATTATAATAATCTATTAAAAAATATTACTATTATTATACTATATATTATATATTACCAGTATTAAAATATACTTAATATTAACTAATTTATGTTGAGGTTTATGGACAACGAACCAGAAACGTATATCTAGAGTAGCGGTAGATACTCGGCGCCATGTCACCTGCACTTTTGCCCCTTACCCAACTATTACCCTTCGTCCAACTAGCGCGCTCTCGCGGCTCACAATTACAGTGCCGAGTAACACGCTACTCTATACTGAAAAGTTCGCGCGTGACGTCACGACGCAATCTTCAATTGTAAATATCTCGATAACTAATTAATATTACGAGATAAATTTTAATATACGATCAATTATAGTCATTAGCTTTCATTTGATTCTGTTGAGAAAATCTCAACTTTTGAATTAACCTAACCGTTTAAGGTTAGGGATGATTGTGCCGGAACAGAGCAAACGGAAGTCAGGTTTTATAAAAAATATATAATCTTTATTTTGAGCACTAACAGGTACACAATATACACTGAATGACCGTTTGTCAATGAATACAAGAAATAAATGTCTTTAGAAATCACTAAATGTCAATTGTAATTACTGAATGTGAATTGAATGTCTAAAAAATACTCAACTTGGTGTGTTCAGTATTATTGACCTCCCACACGAGCTCAGCACGCTTCTCAAGTTGAGCAAGAATATGATTGTGCACGTGGCGTTAGCCTATCAATGCAATGCAAAATGAATTTACTGTAACTTCGTGAATTTACTATGAAATGTCCTGAACTGTTAGTTGATTTTGATTGTAGAATGAAAATTGAATATTTCTGGTGGTTCAGAATAGCGCTAGCACTAATGATTGACTTAAAACTTCAAGATTGTCTGAAAAGAATGTGAATGGCGTGTAGACGTGAACGAGAACAGAGAAAGAACGGCGACAGGAACTTCATTAGTCAAAAGGGACACTGAAAATTAGTCGAATGATTGACTAAATTAAGAATTATTGATTATTTAGTCGATTGGTTATCGACCCAGTCCCAAGATGGCCGCCGAAGTTCCTGTCAGCTGGCAAATTCAAAATTGAGAATTAATTAATTCTCAACAGATTCCAAAATCAGTTTCATTCATTGAGTACTTATCGAGATACAGAATAGGCCACGCCCCTAATTCCGTATCTCACACATTTCAGTTCGATTTCTAGCATCTTCTTTGTCAGTCTTACCTAAATGCCATCTAACGCGGACCTCTTTCTCGTGGCCACAATTTTTCTACGATATATATAGGTATACTCCCGATACGTACATGAGCGAATGAACGGTTTACTTTCAACAAGACATTATTTGGAGCTAAAAACATAATTAATAACTATTTTAGCTATTTTCGATGCTACATAGGTGTATTTCCTGCTTGTCTATTATTCTGCGAAGCCCGTTTTTCGTTCTTTTAAGACAGAAAAAAGTTCAATTTGAAAATGTCTCATTGAAATAGCAAAAAAGATGTACTTTCAATAAGACATTATTTGGAGCTGAAAACATAATTGATAACTATTTCAGCTATTTCCGATGCTACATAGGTCTATTTCCTGCTTGTTTATTATTCTTTGTATGGTAGTGATCCGAACACTAGTATCAGATGGTTAAATGTTTCAATGTTCAGAAATAGAATAGTTAAAAAATATTCAAAAATAAAAAATTTAAATCCTGATTCTGAAGACATATTCTGTGCCTCTATTATTGATGACCATTACCCTCAACGCCCTACAGCGTTAGAAGATTTATCATTTTTTAATTATGCAACTTGGTATGATATTGTAAAAAAAAACCTGTAAGAGAAAAAAACGTTGAAATCTATCAAGTTGGGGTCACTTTGTACGTGAAAAAACGATCCAAGCCTTTCTTGATAAATCACTATGAATTCAATGAAAGCACTGAACCCGAAAAATATTATTACGCTTTACTTTTGTTATATAAGCCATGGAGAGATATTAATAAATTAAAAGATAATCATGATACTTATACTGAGTCATTTATTGCCAATTTAGAGAATTTAGAACAAGCTGAAAAATATCATGAAAAATGTACGGAATTGCGAAAAGGAATCGATTCCATGAACGAAAAAATCGATAAACATTTACAAAATATTACAGAATCAAAATCTAGTCAGCTGAAATCTGCGATAAATAATAATAGTAACGGAGATGTGCAAAAACTCGATCAATCAGTTGAATATTCGCAAATTATAAATAATGATGGTAAAGATGTGATAGACATTGCATTATCAAATCTTATCTCTGCTTTGAATGAAGATCAACTTCGTGTGTTTGAGAAAGTTAAACATACTCTCCAATCGAAAGATTCTATTCTACGTTTATATGTAAGTGGAGCTGGTGGAACTGGAAAGAGTTTCTTAATTGATGTTATAAAACATTGGATTAAAAATGAAATGAAAAAGAAAGTACTAGTTACTGCACCAACCGGAATTGCAGCGTTTAATGTTAACGGTATCATGATATACAAAGCATTTCAACTTCCAGTTGAACACGGTCACGCATTTCAATATTATCAGTTATCTGATAACGCATTAAAAGTATTACGTATAGAATTGACTGATATTGTATTAGTTATTATCGATGAAATATCAATGGTATCTAATTTTGTTTTACTCTACATTCATCTGAGATTGATGGAAATTTTTAATACTATAAATGAAGCTGATGGTTGGTTTGGAAAAATACACATTCTCGTATTTGGTGATTTACTTCAACTTCCACCTGTTAGAGAAGATCCAGCCTTTATAGATTTATCATCTAAGAGTGTAGAAAAACTTTTAGGTTCACTTGGCAATTATAATCTTTGGAAAAATTTATTTAGTTATGATAAATTAATTATCAATATGAGACAAAAAACAGATCTTGAACATAGTGATTTACTTGCTCGTTTGCGAGTTGCTGGTACAACTTCTGATGATATTAAAGTATTAGAACAACAAAAAACCGTCATCCATCATTCGAATTTAAATTTCGATGATAGAATAAAACAATTGTCTAATTATATTACTAACTTACCTGATGATACTGTCTGTTTGTTACCTACATGCCGTCAATGTGATATTCTTCATTCCACTATGTTGGAAAACATCTTAACAAAAGAACTCATACTGGTAGCTGAGAACAGTATTGATTGCACAAAGCAATTAATTAATAAAGTAGGAAAAATCTTAAAAAAGTTAGAAAATGATGATACTCGAACCGCTGGACTTGCCAAAATAATAAGAGTTAAAATAGGAGCGAAAATCATGATACAGCGTAATATTGATGTAAGTATTGGTCTTGTAAACGGTACAATTGGAACAATTGATTTATACCTAAAACAGAATTTTTAAAATAATGAGTTAATCAAATAGTTATAAACATATTCACAAATAATATATTTTGTGTGAAATTACTGATTAGTTTTATGTTGTGCAGTAGAAGTACCATAGAAGTAAGTACCAACTGAAAAGATTTTTATTAGTAGAAAAGTGAGTATTCTACAATACTTTGAATGTTTCATGACTATACTTTATATTTAAACAAGTTATTGGACGAAAAAAATATATTGTATTTTGTTCAACATGAAGAATACTGTGCAATAAATGATAAAAACTTGACAAATTAGTTGGGTTTCTTATTCTAGTAGCGTAATATGTATTAGTTAATATTAATGTTAGAAACGATGGAAAAAATCGATTTATTGAAATCGAGACTCTTTCTTGTGATTTGACATAATTATTTGATAACATGATAAGTTCATAGATCATAAACACATGATATATAATAATGATGGTATGCGACTTTGGTAATGTACCGGTTGCATTAGTATGACAAAAATCGTCAATAATGTTAGGAACTGCACTTTAACTGGGTACTTGGTATACAAACTACACTATTATTAACTTCCCATTAGGAAGTTATTGTAATTGGGTCGATTGGTGAAATTTGAATTTTCATTAAATCGCTACGTTTCAAGATATTTGCAAGCATACTGACATATTTTGAGAATGTATGTATGTATGTATGTATGTATAGACGTCAGCATTTTTTTCATTTTCGATATCTTAAGAATGGATCAAGATATTAACTTCAACCACTATTAATTCGAAAGATATTATTATAAAGAAGATCTGAAAGAAATTCAAACGAATTCGATCGAGCCGTTTTTTTATAACAAAATAACTAATAAAAAAATGATAAGATTAGCCATTTAAAATACTTCTAAGCCGAACAATGACAATTTGATTTGAAAATTGAGTCGATATTGACTAGTCATTTTTGTCCACAACCAAATATGACTCTTAACAATAACGCATTGTTTATAACAATATGAATTTGTTATCAATAATTGAAAATTGTATTTATCGATTAACTGATGCGTGTATCACATGGATTTGGGAGCTTTCAACAAAATAATATGATTAATGATGAGATATGACCTTAAACAATCACGTATTGCATATAACAATATAAATTTGTTATAAACAATTGAAAATTTATTACTTACTACATAACGTTGGTCCATTTTCACAATTTTCCTTAAAAGTTCTATAAGCTGGGCTTTATTACTCATCGAATGAGTTTTATAAATTACTAGCTGTATCCCGCAACTTTGTCTGTGTTGGATTTTTTTAATCATTGCAAATAGTACTGCTTCGTAAAAATTGATTCACAAAAATTAAGGACTACATGATACTTACAGTTGATCTGAGTAAAGAACTATTGTTTCATGATTAATGCTAGATTATTCTGTTGTATTGGTTAGTTTTGTACGTTAATAAGTTATGATTTAATAGTTGTAATGAACTATTCAAGATACGTAATTCTTGTGGAATAAAAAAAAAAAATTCTTCATGTGTTTATTGAAGGTATTAATCTTCTATTATCACTAAGTGAACAGATTATACGTTGATTTGGGTTTTTAAAAGATATGTATTGTTTTGCACAGACTAATAGACATTCCATTTTTTTTTAACATAGATAATGTTTCTTTTGCTTTTAATTGCTTACGTATTGGTATTATCATCTGTCTGGCGACACCTGTACGACAGAAATCGAAAAACGCAGTCCGGCTAAATCATAGAATATGGCAACAAACACTCAAAGATAAAAGATGTTGGAGCTAAATTAGTAAATCGAAGTCCTATTTTAGAAAAAGCTGGTTTAGTTCCTAATTTAGTGCTGACGAATGTGTATCATATTATATTTAATTGCGTTTGCACAAGAAAATTATTTGCTATGAGCACGTGTATATGCGGTGGCCATCATGCCCCGACGCTAAGCAACAGCGTCAAACATTGCTGTGTGATATACGTGACTTGTAGCATCAAATATATGTCTATCTCTTTTCTATGCTTTCATGTTTTGCTGTGTTGTTGCGCTCTCACTTCCACAGCAGAACATAAAGACAGAGTTCTGTTTACCCATTTGCGAGAGTGTCAGCAAATCCATTAATGTTCATCGGGGCAAGTATCAACTTGCTGAAGGCGTTCCAATCGGCTGCTTTGACATTGAACCGTCGGATCGCCTTCGCGTAAGTTTCTCCTTGCATTCCGCTTTGACCAAACTGGATTCCGATCACCAAGTGATTTGACCCCTGAACCCACTTTTTTCCAACTGATTATTTGCTTAAGCACTGTGACAGTTTCTGAGTCGCTACGGTCACATCTGTATGTTGGACCTTCTTCGATTTTATTAAGAAGTCCTAAACCAATCTCAGTAAAGAAATTTGCAACCACTTTCCCTCTGGTGTCGAAATCTGGTGACTACAAAGGACATTGGGCGTTTGTATCCGTGCAGATAAGAACATGCCTTTCAGAGTTGTCAAGACTTTCCTTGGGTGTTCAGTATGAACTTCAATTTAATCTTTATGTTGGAAGTAACGTGAAATAGCATAAAATGAATAACCAAGCCATTCACTGAAAGCACACGTGCAGTGTACATGACTAAGTTCATCGATATAGAGTATTTTAAGAAGAGGATTAACTACGACAATAGCCGATTTCGGTTTTTTCCGTTTAAGAGTTTTTTCAGTGACAAGAGCTTGGCTAAATCATCTAACTGCGTAACTTCGTGAACCGGCATTCGTGGAGTAGGGCCCCTGTAAAAATAGTACGTCCAGTTTCGTTTCTTTGTTGTTTTGTGATTCACATGCTGTAAGGTTTCAATTGGTTGTTTTGTTATTATTATTGATAATACCAATTTTATAATTATTAATGTTGATGTCGGCTGCCTCTGCGAAAACCCGTCGCCGAGCCTTAGCTACTGCTTTTCATTGCAAAAGGTCAAAAAATACCGTTTCTTTGCTTATTATGTGAGGGCCGGAAAAGCCGCACATTTTAGGTTAGGCGAGGCTTACTGAGCTTTGCTTAATCGAGCATCCAGTCAAGTTACGAACATAAAACATTCTTTAGTCTGAGTAAAATTATATCGCGACGCGCTGTAGGGACGGACCGATCGCGATCGCATGCACGTGGCCAGGTTTAGGGACCAGCTGTTAGCGGGAGTGCCAAAAGGCAACGTGTGCGAGGCCAACCAGACACCCCTTCGAACGTTTCGGGTCTCAGCGGACGCTGAGATGTCCAACTACCAGGGTCGTCTTTTTAATCCATTCTGGTTGTTAGTGTGGATTCCAGTTGTCCCTGGCAGCCTTTCTGGCCTCACGCGTAAATAATGGCCCCGCTGCAAACTCCGAATGGGGCCGGTTTTCCTTGCGGATATTTTGTTAAGTACGCTTGATTCCATATTTGCTTATGTTACCTCGAGAGCGGCAGTCCCTATGGTATGTGTTACATCGAGATAGGTATTGTTTCTGAAAAATATGAAATTACTAGGGCGGTTAGTGCATGTGCATTCCTAAGGGAAATGACACATTGTATTGTAATGGTAAAATAATAAGAAAATTAGAATAACATAGATTAAAATGAAAAAAAAAAATTAAAAACATTCAGTTTTGATATGACTTGTGACTACCTCCTTAGCCGAAGACAAGTACTATGGCGTACTATTGCTCCTACATACTGCTTTTTGATTAAAAGAAAATAGGGAACATGCTGGGCAAGCCCAACACATTTCTTTACTCACTATCACAAGAGCCACAGAAGAGGGGCCAATCGGGGCCTCAAGGAAAACCTTTGTAAACTAGAAAAACAAAGGATGAATCTTCATGAATCAATCATGAAAATAGAATAACCTTCGCAGTATTGGCATACAATATTTTCTGGAGGACAGGCTCCCGGAAAGCGGTCTGCGTGCGATTCACTAGCCACCTTCGTGGACTAGATCTTCACATCCCGCACTGGCTGACGACTGTGGCTTAAGTTATTGAGAATGCAATATCAACACGCTTTTTTAAGAGACCTACGACATGCCAACAAGACAGCTCAGAACTTTCCAGGGATCGGGCACGCCAGATCGTCCATGTCCCGAGGGAACCATATTACCTTGTTTTAGCTTTCAATCTCCGCGTGTTTTGATATTTGTTCTTTGTCTCACTTGATTGGTCTAGCAGTATGACGAGGACCTCCTGACTTCCTTAGGCGATAGCCTAAGATTGCGAGTATAATTCGGATACATTTAGTGGAATTCAGGAAGTATGCCAAATTATGCCAAAAGTTTATATTTGATTATACAATTTCTGCCATGATACTTGGTGGCTTCTACTATTTTTGGTTATACCATTCTTTATTATTTGATTATTATTATTGCTGTGGTTGTTGTGACCTGAAAAAATTAAAGACATTCTCTTCCACACACGCACACACCTGCATACCTATGTGTGCTCTTTAGCCTAATATAACTGTCCTTTTCCAAGTTCTTAGCTAGATTACACGAAGTGTGTGACTGTAACAAGAGAAAAGAGACACAAAACGATCAGGGTATCTAACATGGTGAATCCTTCAGCAGCGCCTGTTGGGGCCCTACATCGACTCATTGCAAGGCTTCGCTATAAACACAATCAAGAAGAGAGAGGATAAAGGTAAAGGACTCCACATCAAGGCACAGCCTCGATTTGCGGACATATTGTATAGGTAGTGGTGATGGTGGCTCTCGGCCTCCAGCCCATGAGGAGAGGTCTACCTCTGTACCCAGTGACGAGAGATACATTCAGTAAGAGAGAACACATGACAAAGCGCTTAATTAAGTAGAGTGTAACAACGAGCGAACGAATTTTGAATAGCAGAAATATCGCCGTTAGGGACGTGTCTTATTTATAATTCCGTTAATAATAAATGAAAAATTCTCGTTTAACGTTTAATCAAAAGCTCATGATATAAGATAACTACCTCTTAAATATGAAAGCATATGTAGCAATTATCCAGATACGTTGATGACATCACACAATTTTTTT